TAATATTATAAAAACAGGACGTTCTTCAAAAAAAAAAACAAGAAGATTTGGGTAGCTATCAAGCTTTTCATAGCGATCATAAGGCTGAATCAGGTTTAAAAAAGTATCAGAATAAGCTGAGTGTTAATCCATATTAAAGCTTTTTAAATTTCTTTTGAACAACATAAAAATTGCAAAATTTTGTCGCATAACCGAGAAAACTAGTTTGAATATTTTGAGATTCAGTAGTCTATTTTTGAGCAAATGCAAGAAAGCAAGTAATGTTCGTTATGTGAATTCTGGTCGATAAGGCAGAAAACGTTTAGAATTTATCGAAAAAACATGTTTTTTAATCTTTACTTTGCGCTATTTTGGCAAGAAAAAAATGTTCCACAAAAATTTAAAGTCATTGTTTTTTTTTCAATGTATGTTTTAGTTTTCTTCGTTTTAATTATTCTTGGGTGGTTTGGACCCCTAAAAAAATTTGAATGTCCAGACCCAGCAGGCATCTGGTGCGGTTTTCAGAGACCAGAAATTTCACTGAAGTTATCTGTCATCACAGAGAAGATACGTCTATTGTTAGAGTACCGAATAACTTGGTTGTCCTCCTGTCAAAATTGACATAGTGGGTATCGATGGGCAATTCCGTCGTTGAAAGTTATTTGATGTTGGCGCCAGATTTTAATAGGATATCTGCGGTTTTCTTGTTGATAAAAGATGCCGGGCTACCTGTATCTATGGTAGCTTTAAAAATGTTTTGTTGACTCTCAGTCTGATTTGATACATCTCGTTTTCCCGTAGCGGACTTAACGAATTCTAGTTTTTTGACTGCCCTTTCAGGTTTATGGCCTTGGTTGGTTTTTCCGACCGAAGGGGATATATTCAATAACGAATATTCCGGTTCACTATCCGATGCGATGAAGTCGCATTCTTCTTCGGCTGTAATTTCAGAGTCATCATCTACAATCCCTACGTCGCTCCTTGAGTTACAACATCTGGCAAAATGGCCCTTTTTGTTGCAGTTGTTGCATATCACATTCTTTGCTGGACATGACAGTTTATGATTCGGGGAGACTTCCTTCCCGCAGAAGTAACAAGGTTTGTTATCTCTTTGTTGGGTATTGTTAGGTCGGTTGTTGGGTTTTCCTCTTGGATTTTGAGCTCGATTAGTTCTGTTTTGAATGTTGTTCTTTCGCTGAACTGATAGGGTTGGTTCTTGTTTTATTTTGAACGAGTTTGGGTGATTCTGACCGAAGTTAGAGTTAGAGCTAGATGGTCCTGCTAGACCCATCTGTTTTTGCAAAGTAGAGGAAGTGACATATCCTTTCTCTTGAAGAAGAGCTGATTTTAGTGTTTCTTCTGGAGAGTTGCCTGGTCTTATGCAAAGTTCACGTTGGATATCTTTGAATTTCTTCTTAGCTATGAAAATGTCACGGACAACTTCCTTCTCGTTTTCGAGTGCCCAAACGCATTGGGCGGCCTGACCCGAGAGTCACAGAAAGAAGGTTTCTAGACTTTCTCGGTCTAGTTGTTGGGTGTTGTAGAGGTTTATTCTTTCGATTATATAGTTTTTGTCCCTTTTGAAAAGTGCCTCGTATTGATTATAAAAGTCGCGAAATTGATAGTTGCATTGTCTCTGTGAGCGTGGCTTTGTAAGAATCTTTTCTTACCTTCTGAAACCAGGGAGAAGAATAATCGTGATATGATCCTTTGATCCGCTTCGGGAAAAAATACGTTTGGGCCGATTTTTGGTTCTTTTTTCCTTCTTTCGTCGTTGATTTCATTTGTCTTGCGGATATCAGCGTGGTCTCTCGCAATACGGTTGGTTTAGTCGATATGGGTTTCTGATTGTCCTTTTCGTTCAGGACGGGAGGTGGGTCATCGAAGACTTCAGCTGGTTCGCTTAGAAGGATATTGGCATTGCAATGTTCTCTTAAGTTTACAGCTAGAAAGAATTGACCGATCCATGACTCCCATGTGAATAAAGGTTCTGTTGTTGGTTTAGGCCAGAACGCTGGTACCCCTATAAGATCAGTTCGGTCCTCGCCGACCGAAACTGCTGGCTGCGCCATGTGGAATGTCAACCGACAGACTCTTAGTTACAAAAGTAATCGTAATAAAATATGACTTGCTTAATAATGCAATGTTGAGATATCTGTATCTTTCACCAGATAACGAGAGAGTGATTTTCATTCAGCACTGAACATTAACATGGTCGGCAAGAACCGGCCTTGACATAATCATCAACTCACTCAGACTAACAATATGACCTCTATAATCAATTCAATACACAACACGTTATGTTACATAATGGGAGGCACACCCGCCGTATCACAGTGGTATCGACCTGTTGCTCTGAAAGAGAAAGTCATAAATCGAATCCCACGTCGGTTACGTTAAGAGGGTTCGTAACTTCATCCTCTCTAAAAGTGAGAACGGCTGTGGCAAAATTGATTACACAACCCGCCCCCAAGTAAGTGAAGCCTGTCATCGACTGCGCGCAAGAAAAAGATTACATCCCCTCTGTGCTTTAATATTATAAGAACAGGACGTTCTTCAAAAAAAAACAAGAAGATTTGGGTAGCTATCAAGCTTTGCATAGCGATCATAAGGCTGAATCAGGTACAAAAAAGTATCAGAATAAGCTGAGTGTTTACCCATATTAAAGTTTTTTAAATTTCTTTTGAACAACATAAAAATTGCAAAATTTTGTCGCATAACCGAGAAAACTGGTTTGAAAATTTTGAGATTCAGTAGTCTAATTTTGAGCAAATGCAAGAAAACAAGTAATGTTCATTATGTGAAACCTGGTCGATAAGGCAGAAAAAGTTTAGAATTTATCGAAAAAACATGTTTTTTAATCTTTACTTTGCGCTCTTTTGGCAAGAAAAAATGTTCCACAAAAATTTTTTACATGTTTTTTTTTCAATGTATGTTTTAGTTATCTTCGTTTTATTTATTCTTTTTTGGAGACATTTATTGTCGATTTAGCCTAATTTGATTAATTCTACGCTTTTATATAGTTCTATCGTCACACCAAGCACAATGAACTACACTTATTGAAAGAAAAAAATTTTAGTTTCTCTATGAATGTGGTTGGAAAGTTCTGCATGGTGCACAGCAACCGGCTATTTTTGTGTTTTTTAATTTTTCTATTTTTTCTACTACTTTTAGCGCTGGTATAAACTTTTCGGACAACATTGAAGAATTTGCAAACGTTTATATTGGTTGTCCCGAAACTAAATGCCTCTACTTGAGCAATATTTGATGAAACACAAAAGTTTCTCATAATTTTACCACAAATAATGTGGTCCAACTTGTTTATTAATTTAATGTGTGTGTGTGTGTGTGTATTTTAAAAAGTTCAAGAACATACACATTTTTAGATTTCGTTGAAACAGACAACCGTCTCAGTTGGATATAATTTATTTGAAAATTGACCCTGTAGTTTTTGCGTGTTTGCGTGTTTTTTGTTTGTTTGAAAAAAAACCTAAAAAGGAATCAGTTTTGGGGTAAAGCACTCCGTTCGATTTTTGCAAAAGATGCTTACTAACACTTCTAAGAAATCTAGACAACTTTTTTTCTCATGATAACCCATAGTTTCAAAAAAGTACTGAAATGAATTGTATACGCTCAAACAAAGTTTTTGTCGTTTTTATCAAAAAATTATCTTAAAGATTTATAATTTTCAAAGTTTTAACTTGCTATAATTTTTCCTTTTTCCTCGGAACACGAATCTCAAAGAACGAGAGCCATTTTTTGTTCCGTCTGAAATCAATTGACATTTTTCCAACCTATGTTGGCTAGGTGTTTTCGTGGGCAGGACTATTGCAAACTGTGATAATGATCTCTTGATCCAAAGTGACTCATGATTTTTTTATGAAAGCTTAGATCGGATTGAAGTGGTTCTTCATTTACAAAAAAATTAAGACTTGAAGTCACGCGGATATTAAAAACTTGAGCATGCAGATTTTATTGTAAACAGACCCAACTCATATCTCGTTTCACGAGTAAACAGATTTTTTAATTGCCTCTGAGATTGTCCCTTGTCTGGCAAATGGCTGACAATGAACATGTTTTTTTTTCGTGTTTTCTCTTCTGATGTTTTGAATTTAATAATTTTACCATAAAAAGATGATATCACCACAATTGTTACCAAAACTACAAAAATACTGAAAACTTTTTGAATAATCACGCGAATTCAGTACGCTTTTCAACACATATAGTCCTTTTTGGTTCGTTTCACAATTCACATCAAAGTTATACATAGCATGCTCTTTCTCTTGTAAAAATGGTTACAGTATTACATAAACACAGCAGCTTTAAAGATTGAAAAAATTTTTATAGCTTTTTGTGTTACACCTGCATCTTATGCATTTACTTCAGCCGAGAAAATAACGTGAAAAGCGTTTTCTTATAAATCTTCGCGATTGCATTCCGATTCTCCTTATTTTATTCCGCTCAAAAATAGCCTATTTACTAACATTGAATTCGCCTACTAAGAAGAAAAATTGATGACCTCCATAGATTTTGAAATTTTGGACATAAAGTGAACGTAATTGGCGTTCCCGAGCACGTAAGTTGTGGCTTGACTTGTTAAGTAGAACTAATTCTGTATTTGTGAAAAAAAAAATAATGAATAAATATGTAAAAGTTTTGTGAAAAAAAAGAGAAACTATGAAATGATTTTCTTCTGCGGCTTTTCGAGGAGCCGAGAAATAAAGATCTAGAAAAGAATATAGCCGCGTTTTGGTATGCGGCAGTAGTGGATTCAGGCCATTCGACCCACGGGATTGAGGGACTCAGGGAATACATGGACTCAGGCAACTCGACCCCCTGCCCAGCCAAAGGCTCCCCTTTGGTACAACTTTCAGATATGTACTTTTAGCTGACAAGCCCTAATTTTTTTCTAAGACACCTTTGTCGCAATTTACTGTTTTTAAAGGGGGAGTGCGTGGCGAAAAAAATGCAATTTTTGAAACAAAATGATAAAAATGCCTTAAAACATTTTTGGACTTCTGGAAGGTTTCGACAAAATAATTGCGTCATTTCGGCGCGCGCCCCCCTCTAATTGGTGTATATTGGCGCTAAAGACGCCCTCAGAAAAACTTTGACGTTGATAAACTGAAATGGGGTGTCGTAATAATCTGGCAATGATAACTGAGGGGGTTAGTCGTCGACTTCTCTTCCCCCTCCTCCTTCCTCGGCACGCTACTGTTTCTAAAAAAACATGTGCACCTGGACAAAATACAACGCTTCAAAGATATGCATCGAAAACGGTTTCAACAACCCATTTATTTTGAAACATTTGTTTTCAAGTTTTTGCCCACATCTATATGATGGAAAATAAAAACGAACGTTTTCATCACAAAACTGAATTGATATTACTAAAACGGCAACTTATCGTCTCGATCCTTTTATGCCTTTGCGTACAGTCACATTTCATGGACCAAATGACCGATCATTCCGACGAAACCCCTGATGAGCCAGTTGTCAAACCTTTTGAAAAGTTGGCTGGCCTGAGCGGACAACAGCAGACATCAAAACCAGTGTACCATGGTGAGTATTATGTGCGACTTCCGTTGACCATTCTTTTACTAGTGCGATTAGTGAGTACTTAGCGATCGCATCTTATTCAGTAACCATATTTCTCCTGTCGCTTCAATTTTCAGCTTACTTACCCAGGTGAACAGTTTAAATCTTAACTGTAGCATGTTTAAAAAAAGCCGTTACACCCATCCCCCCACCGCCCCCGCCAGCCACCAGTGTAGTTATGGTTGCAAATTTTGTTAACGATTTTATCGTTTGGTGCAATTTTGCGGCCTTGGTTTTGGCCGAATAACGATTTTGTTCTAATCCTCGCTGAAACTTGAATAATCGCTAAGCTTGAGCGAGGATCGCGCACTGAAACATCGTAACTCAGAAAAGTTTGCCAATTTTTTCTTCTTTTGAATAAAAACTGAAGAAAAAGAGGACTTGAAGTTTAAATTACTAACTCACAAACTCGCTCCCCTACCCAACCATCGCCCATTAAAAAACACATTTAACTTAATTTAAGCAGTTATGCATTCTTGAGACGATTTCACGAGAACGTAAAGGTTAATCAATAAATCTATGTTTGAAGAACAATCTATAAGCAAATGGGTCTACTTCCTTAGTTGAGGGGGCGTAACCTTCTCCTCCCGTGAATTCACTTCTAGTGGTACTTATGTGATTTAGTTCCCCTTGCGGCCTTCGGCACTGTGACCTTTTCGGCTAATGGGAACACTTCCGATTTCATCAGAGTGTCTCCTCAACAGATGGACGCAGACAGCCTATTGAAACACTTGTGCAACAGGAGCTCAAACAATGCGAGAGTGGACAGTTTAGAGTTAGTCATCTCGGTGCATGGAACACTCGATGAATCTTCCCGAAATGCAGACGCTGAAAAAGGTCAGTGTTAAGATCAGAGTAAATTCTTAAAAAGACGAGCGAAGTTAGTGATGCTGTTTTAGATTACAGACTACTTTTCATAAACAGTAAAAATTATATCAACTAAATTGGAGTGATTTTCACTGATCCCTGGTGTTTTTTAGTTCAACTTGAATTGAAAATTGAGTTGATGGGTGCCATAGCTGCAGTAGTGCAGAGGAACCGTATATGCCTAGAAAGGCTCGATCAATTCCTCGGGGTCGGAAGTTTCTCAAGACTGCTTTTTGTAATGTCTTGAATTTGAGAAGCTCTTTTGACTGAAGATCGGCCTCAGCGAAGTTCGGCTTCGCTGCTGTTCATGGCCAGGAGCGAATTTTCGGGGTTGGGGGAACGCAGTTTTTTTGGTCAAAATTTTTTTAAAAAAAAGTGCCCAAAAACGACAGTTTTGACCTGTTTTTTTTTTCAAACATCTGTCTGCGGCGCACAAAATTTCATTAAAAAGAGGCTTTATAGTGTTCTGGGAGTCTAAATTTTGAGCATTTAGTCAGGTGATCGGAATTTCAAAGAAGAAAGTAACGGAATACTTTTGCGAGGATGGTTTTTGTTATGTACAGCTCTAAGGGTTTGAAAAATGACAATTTGGTCAAAATGTTGGTCAAATCCCGCTTTTACTAGTTTGTCGATAATGCTCAACGCGTAAGCGCAAAATTTTGAGCTCCGCTGTGCGTTCAAACCATTGTTCGTTCAAAATTATCATAAATTTGAGTGAGACTAGCCAGTCAGTCCCATCATTTCCTTGCAAGACTCAAATCCTACTAGGTAAAAAACTTACTTATCCACGTGATTGTTTCGAGGCAAAATTAGTAGCCACAAAGAAAGATTGTACTATAATAAGATTGTGATATATCTTTTTGCAGATTCTTCAGTTGTTATTCGTACGGTACTTAAAACTCGAAAAATTTGAAGTGACCCCCCCCCCCCCCCAAAAAAAAAATTCCCAACCGTGTAGAGTTTCCTCCCTAGCCACCAATTAGTTATTTTGAAATACAATTCTGTATGAAGCATGCATTTCGATTGAGCGCTCAAATAAGATTGGTTTTTTTTTAAACATTTTTCATCGATATGGGATTGCATTTTAGCGACCAGCTAAAATGATGCATTGCGATCCACTTTCCCTAGAAAACTCTTAGTTTCCTAATAAATCTTGGTTGTTCTCAAACATTTTTTTTTATTGTGGCAAATATAATCACCAGTAAAACAAAAAAGTTCAGCCTTGTTTAGGTTGCTAGTAATTACACAAAAACAATTCATAACAAAAGAAAGTTCCTACCAGACGATTATTCATAACAGGCGACAAGCGTAACCTCCTTTTATTACGCGGCACAGTCACACGAGCCTTATACAACAGTGACAAGCGGAGCAAGCGATCTCTAGCTGCCAACGACTTGTTATTAAATGCCGCGGGTTCCAGTGCTGACAAAAAAGATGGCAATCATTTTTTTACAGATCATATAGCGAAAACTTGTAAAAAGCTATTTGAATTGGTCAAAAATCAATTCAGTTTGATGCAAAACTAGCTTAAAAATCAACTCCAATTGTTTTTAGTCGATTTATGTGCCTTTTTTCTTTGATTTTGTTTTTACGCGGAATTTAGTATTTGAAAAATAAAACTACATCGAATAAAATTGATTTTTTTAATCCATACTCTGTATATTCATTTTATACAGAATTTATACAAGCTTTTTTCAAATTTTCTTGAGTATCGAACAATAGAAAAAAATTTGAGTTTAAATTATAAGTATAGCTCTGATTATAACCACTGTGTAAATCTTTTGCACCAAAGATGAAGTGTTCTGCCTTGAGTTTTTTAAATTTATTTGTCATTTGCTTAGAAAAATTGCAATATAACGTTTATGTATGAAATTGACATTTGAAGATTTTTTGCATAATTTTTGCATTTCCCTACCGCAGAAACCTTTAGATTTGCAAAGTTTAAAAGCGATTCCCTTAAAGTCATTTGTTGATGATAAAACATTCTCCTCGAGTGACTTATAATCTTTGTAGCTCTGACCGAGATTTTTCCTGTGTACAAATTTTTGCTGAAATATCGAAACAAAAGAAATAGTTGAGTTAAATAAGTTTTATTGAGATTTTGATGGGTTTCACTACCTTGCAAAAACCCATTGTATTTGATTTAAATCTGTTTTTAGGCAGTAACATTGATTCTTTTTTCTACTCAAAAATCCGTTTATATCTATTCTGACTTGATTCAGGTATCTAAATGGGTTACCGTAAATCGATTTTTATACAGTATTTTTTTATCTGGATAGAAATTGATTTTAATCGATTTGAATTTCAAGTTTGTCAACGCGGATTACTTTTTATTGCCTGTAAATGATTTTTGCAAGTTACGAATTATCGCCCAAACAGTGATAGAGGAAGCTAATTTTTGCACCCAACGCCCAAATAAAGGGGTAAATACCCATCGTCGCACAATCAGTCAATCACAATCAGAATAAAGCGGCTGAATTTCATTTATTTGAGAAGTATTTGCTAATTGGCTCCCAAAACAAACCAGATGCCTTCAAAATAACTGATTGGGTGAATACAGTCTTTGAAGCATTTAAGGAGAGAGTGAAACTTCAAATTATTGATCTATAAAATACATTGTGTTTACCTATAAGCAATTGCAAGAGAAGAGTTTTCTGTCAGAGTCTTTCAAGAATCTTACAACAGATCTTACAAGATTGGCTATTTTTGTCAACTAGGGAAGGCTTCAGTTAAGACCGCCTATTCGAGGTGGGAAGAGGCAACATCAGAGCGGTTTAGCTCTTCACACTGAACTGCTGCTGTGCCAGTAAGACCTGAATGCAATTTTTAGGTTAACTTTCTGGACTGAGTATCGGTGTAATTGTGATTGATAGCCTCGAACTACTGGCCTTTCGACCGAGCGGCGCATGTCATTGCCGTTTTACCACAGCTCCTGTTGACCATTAGGAGTGTTGAATTGTTTCTTTTGTTCTCCAGAATTCAACAAACTGAAGGAGGCGTTGGCCACTATCCTCATAATTGGAAATGGGTGGGTAGTCAGTCCAGGTGAATCATCCAATCAACTCTTGAAGCTGATGGACGTGGATCAAAGGTAAGGCTGCTCAATTAATGACCACCAAATGGCCCAAAAGTATTTCGAATGAAATTTATTTAAATTTTAAAGATTGGAATAGGGTGTTAAGTCTAACTGCAAGCTAAATTGTTAGTTTTTGCCAATTTGTTTGTATCTTAAATTAGGTTTTCAAGATGATTCAGAAGCATGAATCAGAAGCGAAATGGAAGAATCAAGTTCTCCCGATCAAAATAATCCCCCTGGTTTACTTAGTTAATCTCCCAATCTGATTTAACATCCATCCGAAACTAATAATAGTTGAAAGTAGATTATGGTTTTTAAGTAGATTGGATCAAAATTACCGGCCGATGGGCGCTTAGTAATAAATTACATAATTTTTGAATGCTTTTTTGAAAATCAGGGAGCTGGAGGTCGACTTGAGCCGTTCATATAACTTCGTCTCAGTGGCTTTTGTTGATTACGAAACACTAGTGGACAAAACTGTACTAGATGAATGCGACAGTTCCGAGCTGAGAAAATATCCATCGCCGCACAACGACAACAATAACAGGTCAGAAAAAGGTGGCATTAAGTGATTCACTATTAAACACCGCCTATTCAATTCCCTTGCACACCCCTTGCTTGTCCAGTTGAACCGCTTTTCGTGCATAAACTCTCATTTAAATTGATGGTTTTCATGATTTTATTTTGATTGTTGAACACACATTAAGTGCAGATGTAAGTATTTATATACTTGTGAGAATGCATACATCCTTCAGTTTAGTTCAAAATTAAAAACCTTTTTTGACCTAAGCAAGTTTTTTGGTCGCAAAAGTAAGCGCTATTTTGTTGTTCTTGTACTTCAGATTGTGATAGTGCACGCCATACTGATATAAGGCGACAGAATTTTAATACGTCAAGTGCACGCCATACTGATATAAGGCGACAGAATTTTAATACGTCAGTTTTCTTGTCTCAAATTTAACCAAAAGATGTCTCAAAAAGTATTTATTTTGTTTATGAAAGTTTTGCTATTGCTACTTAGGTAGCAAACCGAATTGTAAAAACAGAATTTAATTTGAAATTTCGACATTCGGAAATTCTTTTCTTGAGTTTCGGTCGATTTTAGATCAAGCTATTAATACTGTCCCTTAAGCTAAGCTTGGAGATTGTTTTTCATTGTCTGAAGAAAGATTGCCAGAACTGTTGAGCGGATTCAGGCCAGCGTATGAAGTTTTTTCTAATTGAGTGGTATATGTAGCTGTTGAATATGGTCCATCAAAGCAGATATTTTTTTGGTCAAAATTGATTTTTTGTTTCACTGAAATTTGATTAGGAAGAAATTGTTGAGAAAGTGGTTTGATAAAATTTATTCAAAAGTCTTCAAAAATGGGAATTTTTACAACAATGGAATAAGAATTTGTAAAAAAAAAAACATTTTCAAAAAAAACGAAGTATTAAACGAAAAAAAAACTTGGTAGAAAATCTTATCTGGTTGCAAAATGCGCAATTTTTTTCAGTATTTTTTCAGCAGGAGGTTTTAGTGGTTTGTGTATAACAACTGACAATTTTTTTCAATTGATTTTTCCAGAATGTTTTTTCTTTGATTTATTATCAAAATAATTTTGATGCTAAGTAATGAGCAACAAAAACCTTTTAAAATTTTGACCATTAATTGCTTTATTCAAAACTGCATTCCATTCTTGTTTTTATCCAAACATCCTTTTCTTGTGCTCAGTTGACTCACTCCGCCACACCTTAAGTGCGGATGAAAATATTTATCTCTCTGTGAAAAAGCTCACATCTTTCAATTTAGCTCAAAACTGGGAACAACTTTGTTCTTAAATAAACTTCTTGGAACCAAAACGGAAGGCATTAGTTTTATTATTTTGTTTATTTTTAAAAATTAGATCAACTTATGATAATGCCTGTCAGCCAAATTTTTTGGCACTGTTTTATCGCTTGAAAAAATGCTAGAACTGTGGAGCAGATCAAAGATAGCGTCCTGCTCCCTCTAATTGAGAAGCAAAAGCAGCCTTCAAATCTGCTCCGCCAATAGTGACAATTTTTTTTAAAATTACCTTCTTGCACGAAGTTTTTTAACTTGTAAAATGTGAAAAACAATTGACAAGTTGAATACTATAAAATTCTTACATATATGAGTGGATGAAGTTGTGTAGAATTCATATGAAAAACCTTCAAATATTTGTTTAAAAAATGAGAAAATCTTTTACTCTCATTTTGAAAAAACGAAGATCTGGACGAATTAATGCAAAGCAGACAAGCTGGCGTTTTGCTAAAAATATCCCCTCAAAAACATTGAAATAAAAGATTTTGATAGAAACGCTCAGAAAATCAATGGGTTTTCTCAAACATCCCAATGTCAGTCAGAGTGAGGAGAATTCAGAAATAAAGTACTCGAAGGCGATTCGACGAGCACTTCGCAAAATGGAAATTCTGAAATTAACTTTATCCGAGGTGGAAAACTGCTTGAAAGACTCAATGGACTAGTTAATTTCTATATCCTAGCTTATAAAATTGTTCGAGTAGTAAAGAAAGCTGCTCGTATGACAGCAGCCAAGGAAATTTAACTAAAAACGAAGCAACATCAGCGCGAATTCCTTAATTTGAGAACATTGAGAAGTTGGTAGAGTGGGAAGGGCTTCATATAATCAACGAGAAGCGATGAAAAACTCAGAGCTAGGTAGTCAATTGTTTGCCAATCAAAAACTGAGCAGAACAAAAGTGGGAAAACAATCTGTCGAAGTGGGTAATTTAACTTGAAGAAGCGCGGTTGAAAAAGACAATGCTTTGGGACAACTTGCAGATGAACAGAATACTCAAAGGTAAACTAGAAGAAATCAAACTCTAAATGACTTATCGGAGAGCAACATTTTTCACGGCTCAAAAAGCAGCAGCTAGAAACAGTCGGTCAGAAGGCTGACGAGTCGTGAGCTGGAAGGTCATCACCACTATCTCCTATCAAATCTAGTTTTTGTATAATTTCTTCAAACCCAGCCGTGACAAAAACAAGCGCAAAATATGAAAGCAAAAAAAATCAAAATGAAGAAAAGCAACTGCGCGAACTATCAGCTGAAAAAGCTGAAGTACATTGCGAGCTAAAAGCTGACTAAACAAAACTACAAAAAATATATATTTAAAGCTACAAAAGAAGCTTTTGGCGTTGAAGCTTGAAGATGAGATGCAGAAACTGGAAATTGAATTTCAAGAAAATTGAATTTCAAGAAAAAATTGCAAAATAAAGGAAGCCAGCCTAGCATAATTTCGGTTTTGTCGACAAAGACGACAAAGACAGTCATGTCAGCTCTTGCGCGAATTTTCCGACCTCAGTCTGCCGCTAGAAAACCTGGTAGGAAGCAAAGTATAAAAACCTCCAACGAGACTACTGCGTTGCAAGTTGAAACAAGGGAAAAGGGAGCAGAAAGAAGCAGTCCTTGACTAGAATTAGTAGTTGATAAAATCAAAGTCAAAGTCTGGGATCTGAGAAGAGTGTTTTAAAGCTTAGGTGTTATACTGTGGGAGACTTTTGATCTAAAGCAATCTTCGAAACCCATGTTTTTTTTGGAGAACAAAACTGTTCTCAACTGAGTGCGTCGATAAAAATTAACATGGATTTTTTATTGTAACTTTTTTTGAAGCGTTTGGGTTTATATTCACTGTAGTTGACCAATTTTTGTGTAGAAAGATTAGAGTATGATTCATTTTCACCATTTTCTTCATTTTTAAGATTTATGATTTCACGTGTATTGTTAATGCGATTCTTGAAAATTTTATAGAGCACAAATTAAATGCTTGCTTTTGAATTTTTTTCTCATTAATAAGTTGACGCTCTAGCTTTGAACAACTATACTGTATAGCTCTGGCTTAAGAATTGTAGTTGAATGGATTAAGAATGTGGCCTATGTAAAAAACTCTGTTCTTATATACGTAATTTCACAACAAGTACTTTTTTAGTTAGTCTAACCAGCCAACATTACAAGCTGATCATTTAATACTTATCTCTAAATGCATAAATGATCTTTCGAATTGGCAGTAAAAAATCAAATTTTACCAAAAAAAGATCAAATACTCCTTTTTTTTTATTTGTCAATTTTTCTCTGCTTTCCTTATAGACACCATTTAAAAACAACATCAACTGACATTCGGGAAAGCTGATTTAAAGAAATGCCGTCTCTGCATCATGAACTCTGTTGAGTTGAAAGTAGAAACCGAAGAAAGTCCTCACGCAGGGTTTGCTCATCGAAAACACCTGGACTCAATTCGTGGACTTGCATGTTTAGCCGTGATTCTATTCCACTGCGATATTCCCTCATTTAGTAACGGTTATTTAGGCGTCTCTGTTTTCTTTGTTCTATCTGGGTTTCTTATCTCTTCCAAACTGTTCTGCGAGTTTTTAGATGAAACTAGAAATTTCAACCTGTTGCTCTTTTACTGTCGCCGATTCAGAAGGTTGTTTCCTGCATCTGCCTTTGTTTTGATCTCCACGGCCTTGTTGTATCGATACCTTGAGCTACCAGAATACGTGCAGAAACATCGCATGAGTTTCATAGCTTCAAGCCTGTATTTCGAAAATTTCCACAACATCAAAATCGAACTGGACTATTTTAAGTCGCAATGGTCGGACAAAAGTCCAGTTTTGCATTTTTGGTCTCTATCATGCGAAGAACAATTCTACGCTGTTTACCCTTTCATTGTGTGGACTATGTTTTTCGTGTGTCAGAAAAAACTGAAAGTTATTCTTGGATTTCTTATCATTACTTTCATTGCATCTATTGGACTTAGTTTTCATATCTATCAGAGTGCTCCGATGGCTTCATTCTACTCGATTGCTGGACGTTTTTATCAATTAACCGCTGAGCTATACTGGCGATTTTAGTGATGCTAGACCCGGATAAAAAAAAGTTCCAGGCCAATTTTCCGTTTTTTGGCAAAAATCAGCGGTGTTTTAAAGTTGACACATTTTCAGCCCTACTTTTTGTGCTAGCGGTTTGGATACTAGCGACCTCTAAAATGGACGCTATGCATTTAAGTATGTTATCCACCCTTACTACCTTTATTCTGCTACTGTTGATGGAATATTCGGACGAAGGCTATATGAATAAATTAATATTTCACAACAAGTTCTTGCGATTTGTGGGCAAAATTTCATACGGCATGTATCTTACTCATCTTCCGATTGTGAAATTTTACGATATCACGACAGCCATTCCCGATTATGGACTTCACGTGCGTGCATTAATTATAATATTAATCACATTTCTGGTATCTCTCTGTTTATGGTATATTCTTGAGCAGCCAATCAGCTCAAAAGTTGAAATAAATATCAAAAATTCAGCTGCAATTTTGTTGATCTTCGTGTTGATGACAATTATACAAGCGTTTATTCTCAGAAGCGTTCTTTACTCCGAAAATAAAATAAACACAGTGTTCGAAAGCCAAGATAGCAAGAATTCAGCTCAGATACTAGTTGAAAATAATACCAATTCAACCGAATCAATTTGCAATCTAGCAGAGAAATTGGGCGACACTTTAGGAATCAGCCTACTAAAA